CACAAGATGCAGTTTTCCTTTGGATGAGGAAAGAATTAAGATTATAAGACAGCCTTACAAAAAACAGCAACTGTCAGCCATAGCCTCTAACCTGACACAAGACAGAAACTAAGACACAAAGCTGTAGACCAGAAGCAAGCTCTCAGGACAAAAGGAGACAGAAAGACCATATAAACTAACCAGTCAATACCACACAAAACAAGGATATAGGGATCCTAGTTTCTTAGTGTATATGGCAATTTTTGGTAAGATCAACTCAATTCAATGGAAAAAACAGGTTCTAGATAAAACTTACTAACTTGCCAGAGCCTCAGATGGAGGAATATTAAATCTTTTGACAAAATCTGAGCATCAAGCAAAAGTTCCCCAAAAAGGAAAAGACAACACAAATGGAAGCTTATTTTCCCAAAGTGGTCACTAAAATTCCAAATTACTTCTAGTATATTCAGTTTATAATGTTTTTTAATATGAACCCCAAACCAATGTCTCGGTAGCAGGGGGGAAATCCAGGCTCTTTTATCAAAGACGTTAAGTTCTACGGTTCAAGCTTTTGGTTTTCTTCCTTTTAAACTTAATTCATTCTGCTGGCTAGAGACTAGTCTCTTATTTTAGACTTTAAATATACTAGTTCCTCCAATTGGAAAGTACTTTTAAGTAGCTACTGATTATTTTAATTTTAACATTGTGATTCTTTATTGAGAAACTGTATCATAAGCGGTCTGGAACAAACATCTTACCTAACCATGGTACATTTGTCACAGCTAAGAAATTAACCTTGGGACCTTGCTTGCTCAAAGTGAAGAGGTCTTGAAGCACTTACTGATGGAGATCAAAGACCACAGTCTTCAGTATGGATTATACCCCAACATTAAGAAAACAAAAATCCTCACAACTGGACCAATAAGCAACATCATGGTAAAAGGAGAAAAGATGGAAGTTGTCAAGGATTTCATTTTACTTGGATCCACAATCAACACCCATGGAAGCAGCAGTCAGGAAATCAAAAGACGCATTGCATTGGGCAAATCTGCTGCAAAAGACCTCTTTAAAGTGTTGAAAAGCAAAGATGTCACCTTGAAGACTAAGGTGCACCTGACCCAAGCCATG